CTTCCTGGGCTCTCCATAGACAAAGTGCTTCCTGCCAGCATATACTCGCATCATACTTAGGTATTTCCAGATGTCTTCCTCAGTGGCGCAGTTGCCCTTCATGAAGATCATACCTAAGATATTCATCAGGAGACCGGTCTTGGGTAAGCCCCTGCCACCACGCACCCTCCCGTTGTTGGGGAGTTTCAGCTTGCTCACGAGGTCATACAACTCACGTGTTGAGTCGACTTCCTTCACATCAACTGCAAAGACCATCTCAAGGTGCTCACTTGCTCTCTTGAAGATCTCAGGAAACTGGTCTTTGTACTTCTGGTTGACAATCTTCAGCATGTCTGCCTTTATAATGGGCTGTTTCATTTTGCACTTGTAGAGCAGGAACTGCTCCAACACCTTAGTTTTCCTGGCTATAGGATCTCTGCATACTTTACTCCTAGAGGGAGAAGAATTGCTTTCTTTTGTCTCATCTTGGATATTGGAATCTTCCTCATATCTAGTGAAAGAAATGACTTCAGAAGTAGTGGTTGTTGGTGGAGCTTCCTGAGGCTCCTGGTGGGAAGTGCTACATGACTCAGCAACAGGCAGGCTCTTGGTAACACATTCAGAAACAGATGAGGAGGGAGGGGACTCTTCTGGAGGGGGCTCTTCTGCTGCTGCTGCTGCTTTTTCCTGAACATCCCCTCTACCCTGATTCTGACATCGGGCCTGGTGACGTTTCTCACGAGCATGGAGCTTACTCTTATGACCCCGAGGCATGATGACTTTGGTTAGGAATAGTAGGAGAAAATGGGAGCAGGGCATCTGGTGATGCAGGCACCTGGAGGACGGAGAATGAGATGGTGTGAGCACCATCAACAGGGAGAAACTACCTTGGCTGAAACCAATGTTGCCTCTAGAGGTTTCTTAGAGCGCTTCGGTAGGAACCCACAGGGCTCCTCTTCTACTGGTCAGCCTGTCCACTGAGAACCCTCTAGAGGACATTAGAGTGAGTTTTAGGCTGCATTCTAGCATCCCTGCCTGGGGTATACTGGGTTGGGGGTAAGGGCTAGTAATGGGGCCCTCTGTTTTGGAGTGTGGGAGTCCTCTCAGTTCACAATCTTAGCCATCATATCAACTGTTGACAGGTCCTGGACAACCTCTCTTCTACAGCTCTGAAGTCCATACCTCACACCAAAGCCAGCACCTCCCTGAGATCCCAAAGGAGGAAGTGAAGGAGCTTCTCTGCCCACCATCCCTGTCAAGGGGTACACGACTATCATAGCCCTCTCTGTTATGGGCTGTTTGGGTATTCAGTTCTCATTTAGGGAACTCACTTGATCTCCAGGTAGTACCTGCTACAATTCCCTTTTAGCCAATGGTGGCTGCAACCTCACCCCAAAGATTTTACCTCTTTTAGATTTAATATAAGGAAGGGAAAGAGAGCTTTAGCCTAACAGTCCTGCCTTGGTCCTTCTGGTGCTGAATGCAACGGTGGGCCTCAGATTCTTTGTTGTCAATTAAATGGTGGATGGTCCCCTCAAACCATCCTTTTACCCTTGGTATGGGCCTTGGACTTCTCTCTCCCTGCCAGTATACCTTGAGACCCACAAGGAGTATATGAGGACCACCTTACCTGCCTATGATCTCCCAAGGCTGAGAATAAAGCCAAATGGATTCTTTGGTACCATCATTGTCAGTGTTACCCTCAGACACCATGGTCTTCACCTTAACTCATGGAAATCCCTGTGAATCCTGATACTACGAACCTTAGGCCATGTGCTTTAGATCAACAGTCCCAACCTTTTTGGCACTAGGGACTGTTTTCATGGAAGATGATTTTTCCCTAGACCAGGGAAGTGAGGGATTGTTTTGGGATGATTCAAGCACATTACATTTACTTTGCAGTTTATTTCTATTATTACTACATTGAAATATATAATGAAATAATTATACAACTCACTATAGGTTGGGGACCCCTGCCTTAGACAAAATCCCTCATCAACCCATCCCCATACCATAGTAGAAAATGAGTATGAATCACATCAACAGTCCACAGGCATTCCAGGTTGCCGGTAGGTAGGGGATTCCCTCAGTCCTCACATAGAGATTTCACCTTGACTCCTGGCTACACCCAAAATGTCCTTTCTCCAACTTGAGGACCCTTTTCTCCGCCCAAGGCCCTCACATTTCTGAGACCCTCCTTGCAGAAGTCAGACTGACAGCCCTGTCCTGGGGCCTCCCAGGTTGACGGCGGGGGCAGGCTCTGAGCCACCTCACTCTTCTGAGGTCTGTGGTCCCTTCATAAATCATTCAACGGTCTGCTTTCGATTCCCTTAAGGGCATGGAACTACCTGCTGCTGAATGGAAAGGCCCTGCCCCAACCAGGCCAAAGCCCTCAACTCCCTGATACCATCAGAGAGGAAAAGAGAACTCATATTCCCCGGACCGACGGATGTGGGTCCTTGGAAAGCCGCAAACAAATATGGCGGGACTCTGCACCCGGGCTTCCTCAGTCGGACTGTTTGTAGGGTTCGCGTCTCCTCCATGCTGGACGGGGGCCTGCCCACTTTTATCAATCCGACACCCTCCTGACAGCCCAAAGCCAAAGGGAGCGCACACCTCAGTCCGCCTCCTCTGCTCAGGCCTCCCTAACTCAGAACTGGGGTGTGGTGTGCGGGATGCGGTGTGCGGGGTGCTGGATGCGGGGCTACTTTGTGGGTACGGGACCCGGAGAATTACCCTAAAGGGGTAATTCTCTCCTTCTCACTCAATACTCTCACCTTGACTCCTGTCGGGGTCAGGAACTCCTCACTCTCGCTGGCTTGTGGCAGAGGCCTCGTGCCTCAGGCAAGGTCCTTCTCCATCTTGAGACGCCCCAGAAGGGAGCGAGTGCCACGCGTCTTACCAAGGAAAAGCCCTCTCAAGGCCGACTGCAGGGGCCACATCTACGGCGCCCCCTCTGTGCCGGAGGGGGTTGTTCCCTCAGCCTCATGGAGGATTTGCAATTTTTTTTTTATTTCAACATATTATGGGGGTACAAATTTTAAGGTTACGTATAATGCCCTTCCCCCTCCCCTCACAAGTATGAGCTTCAAGGGTGACCATCCCCCAGACAGTGCACATCTCACTCCTTAATTATGTATGTACCCATCCCCTCCTCCCCCTCCCACCTGCCCAATACCCAATAAATGTAATTCCTATGTGTCCACTTAGGTGCTGATCAGTTAATACCAATTTGCTGGTGAGTATATGTGGTGCTTGTTTTTCCATTCTTGGGAAACTTCACTTAATAGTACGGGTTCCAGCTCTATCCAGGAGAATACAAGAGGTGCTATATCACCATTATTTCTTAGAGTTGAATAGTACTCCATGATATACATATACCACATTTTATTAATCTACTCATGGATTGATGGGCACTTGGGTTGTTCCCACAACTTTGCAATTGTGAATTGTGCTGCTATAAACATTCGAGTGCAGTGTCTTTTTTATAGAATGTCCTTTGTTCTTTTGGATAGATACCTAATAGTGGGATTGCTGGATCAAATGGTAGATCTACTTGTCTTGCTTTAAGGTATCTCCATATTGGTTTCCACAGAGGTTGAATTAGTTTGCATTCCCACCAGCAGTGTAGGAGTATTTCTATCTCTCTACATCCACACCAACATTTATTATTTTGGGACTTTTTGATAAAGGCTATTCTTACTGGAGATAAGTGATATATCATTGTGGTTTTGATTTGCATTTTCCTAATGATTAGAGATGTTGCGCATTTTTTTATATGTTTGTTAGCCATTCTTCTGTCTTCTTTTGAAAAGTTTCTGTTCATGTGCTCTGCCCACTTTTTGATAGAGTTGTTTGATTTTTTTCTTGCTGATTATCATGATTTCTAAGTAGATTCTAGTTATCAGGATTTGCAATTTGACTCCTCTTAGGACCTTAGGATCTTCCTTCACAGCTTCACATGTCTGCAAACTCTTGAGTAGTCTCTCAACCTCAAATCTTACCTACAATAGGTCCTGGTGCCCAGAGTGAGGTGAGATGGGGAAGCTGAAGAATAAGGAAGAGGGCCTGGGACGGGAGGTGGATGTCACAGAAAACAAACACTGATCTATTCCTTCTCTTCATCATCCAGACTTAATCATTTACATAAGTTCTGTTTTGAAAGATTTACTTACTTAAGGAAATGAGCTTATCTTGATAATTTTGTGAGATCCCAATCTTTTTAGATGGAATGACACTGCATATGGAGACATTTATATTGCTAACAAATATTATCTCCTTTTCATTATTCCAACCTCCCATTTATTTTGGTATTCTTACTGCTCTGGCTATGTATTCCAATCCAGTACTTTGGGCAGAAAATCAATCTCTCTCTCTCTCTCTCTCTCTCTCTCTCTCTCTCTCTCTCTCTCTCTCGTCTATCTCTCTTTTCTTTTCTTTCCTTTTTTTTGACACTTCAGATATGTTTTGTGGTAATGAGGAGAAAAGTGAATAAAGATACGCAAGGTCAGCTTCATGGTGGGAGTAGTGGAACAGTCTGTATCACACTAGGTAGACTCAGATGAGGGATCTAGTCTAGCTCTGTCACTTTCCACTTTATAACTATGAGACTATTACAAGTTCTTCATTTGCCAATTAAGTTTGGTAAACCCTGTTATAGACTGAATGTGTCCCTCCAAAATTTGTGTGTTAATATCCTAATCCCAAGGGAGATAGTACTAGGAAGTGGGACCTTTGGTGGATTATTACGTTTATATGAAGTTGTGAGGGTGGAGCCTATATGAATTAATGCCCTTATAAGAAGAAACCAGAAACTTTGCCCCCTCTCTCTCTAGCACATTAAGATACAGCAAGAAGGCAGCTCTGCATCACTGGGAACCACATCCACTGGCACCTTGGTATTGGACTTCCAGGCTCCAGAACTTTGAGAAAATAAACTTCAATTGTTAAAGCCACTCACTCTATGGTGTTTTGTCACGGCAGTCTTAACAAACTAACACATGGCCCTAAGTAGAGATTTATTTCTGAATTATCCCAAACTAATTCATAAGAGCATATTTTAATTGCTTCCTACTTACTTCATTGGTGAAAGAGGAATTTCCACACTATGGCTATGTGGTATCCAAACCCACAACACCAGGCACTGTACAGATGAGATCAACAATGGTTTATTAATCATATATACTCATATACCCACATTTTATTTTATTTTTTAAATTCAGGATATTATGGGGATACAAACAATTTGGTTACAAGAAATGCATGGTTCAAGCTACAGCCACAAATGTGTCCTTCCCCCATACAGTGTGCTCTTTCTCCATTGGCTGTGTATTTACCCACAACACCAGCTCTACCCTCCACCACCCAACAACCCTGCCTACCTGAACCGCACCCAGTGAGTATTACTACCATGTGAGCAACTTAGTGTTGATCAATTAATTCAAGTTTGATGGTGAGTACATGTGCTGTATATTTTTCCATCCTTGTGATATCTCACTTCGAAGGATGGGTCGATCTCTTTCCAGGATAATTAATATAAGAGGTGCTAGATAACCATTGTTTTTTGTAGTTGAGTAGTATTCCATGGTATACATATACCACATTTTATTAATCCACTCATGTATTGATGGGCATTTGGGTTGTTTCCATATCATTGCTATTGTAAATTGTGCCGCTATAAACATTCAAGTGCCAATGTCTTTATTATAGAATGCCTTTTATTCCTTTGGATAAATGCCTAGTATTGGGATTGCTGGATCATATGGTATTTCTATTTTTAGCTCTTTTAGATATCTCTAAATTACTTTCCACAGGGGTTGTACTAATTGGCAGTCCTAAGGGCAGTGTAAGAGTGTTCCAATATCTCCACATACATGAAAGCATTTGTTATTTTTGGACTTTTTGATAGAGGCCATTCTCACTGTAGTTAGGTGATATCTCATTGTAGTTTAGATTTGCATTTCCCTAATGATAAGAAATATTGAGCACTTTTTAATGTGTTTGCTGGCCATTGTTCTGTTTTCTTTTGAAAATTTTCTGTTCATGTCATTTGCCCATTTATTGATGTGGTTGTTTGATTTTTTCTTATTGATTTTCTTAAGTTCTATATAGATTCTTGTTATCAGCCCTTTATCAGATGTGTAGAAAGCAAATATTTTCTCTCATTCTGTAAGTGGTCTCTTCGCACTTAAGGACAGTTTCCTTGGCTGTGCAGAAACTTTTTAATATGGTCAGGTCCCATTTGTTTATTCTTGTTTCTCCTGTGATTGCCTTGGAGGCCTTCTTCATGAGGTCTTTGCCTAGCCTGATGTCTAAAAGAGTTTTCCCCACATTATCTTCCAGAATTTTTAAGGTTTCATGCCTTATGTTTAAGTCTGTTATCCAACATGAGTTGATTTTTGTGACAGATGAGAGGTGGGGATCCACTTTCAATCTTCTGCATGTGGATATCTAGTTTTTCCCGTGCCACTTATCGGACAGAGATTCTTTTTCCCAATGTATACTTGTGTCCGCTTTGTCAAAGATTAGATAACAATATGAGGATGGTTTTATATCTGAGATCTTCATCCTATTACAAAGGTCTATATCTCTCTTCTTGTGCCTGTACGATGCTGTTTTGGCTACTATAACCTTGAAGTAAAGATTGATGTCAGGCATACTGATGCCTCCTAATTTGTTTTTTTTGTTTGTTTAAGATTTCTTTGGGTGTACGATGTCTTCTTTGGTTCCAGATGATGCGTATAATTATTTTTTCTAAATCTGTAAAGAACTAATGGTGGAATTTTAATAGGGATTGCATTAATTCTGTAGATCACTTTAGGTAGAATGGACATTTTAACAATATTGATTCTACAAATCCATGAGCATGGTAGGGATTTCCTGCAGGGCAAGAGAAGCTGAGGCAGGCCCATGAGGAGATTAGCTACTTCTCCCTGCGGAGCCAAGTCCCTAAGATAGGAGTCACCACAGAGGATAAGGAAATTGATAGGCAACAGAGAGAAATAAAAGAATACACAGAGACTAAGGTATAGCTTATAGTTTTATATGTATAAAAAGATCATATATAACACAGTGGGAGTTACCTATGAGACTGGCATATCTCCATAAATGCCTGCAATATGGTTAGATTTATACAGGTTTTTATAATCACAGACATCAATTACCAGTTGTCAAGGTAATAAATTTTCATATCAGGGAATGCAGTTGCTAGG